GTCGGCAGGAAGGGTCGCTGCCCCAGCTCCCTCTACATGGCCTGGCTCGAGACCCTCTCACAGGACCTGAGACCCCCCGTCATCCTCACCCGCGGAAACCAAGAGAACGTGCTGACCTTTTACTGCCAATAAAGCCTCCTGGGTCCCTGCCACCTCGGGATGTGAATTCTTCAGGCCAGTTTCGATCTCTGAGCACACTCGGCTGGGGGGCTGGGGGGGCAGCAGCGAAGCCACGTGGTCACCAGCCCTCAGGGAACGGCCACCATGCACAGCTGCCACCTTCCTAGGAACTCATTTTGCCGATCTCCACCAATGCAGAGTGCATAGAGATATAAAATAAGGCAGGCCCCATAGCGCAGGTGGGGCTCCAGCCCTGGGTTTGGCTGGAGCCATGCAGATGAGGCGCAGGGTCCCAGGCTGAACCGTGCCCCGTGCCGAGAGCAGCAAGGGGAGACCAGGACTCCCTCGCCTGCTCCCCCCGGAGAGCCCAAACAGCGCTAATGGTCCCGGCAAAGCCACCATCCTGGGGCAGGAACCGCCCCAGGGGGACAGGAGCGGGCCAGCACCAAGCCCAGGGGCTGCGGGGAACCTGCCCATCCGCTCAGGGATGGGGACTCCCAGCCACCAAACAGGCTGAGCCCATCCCCAAGAGCCGAGCAGCAGCGAGGTGTCACCTTGGGCTGCGGTGCCTGGCTGCAGGTGCACGTCCAGCTCCTAATCGAGACAAAATTAACCACCAGAACCTTAATCACCATAAGCAGGACATGCCCTGGCGCAATGTCCCCGAGGCAGGAGCAAGGCTCATTTCCAAAAGCACAACCCAGGCCCCCTCATCGCCCTGCAGGAGAAACACACAACTCTGTTCACCTCGATCTTTACAGAATTTACTGATAATCATCATCAGGATTAGAACTGTCAGTAGAAAAATAAAATTTACAGAGTTTTCTATCATACAAAGATTTGTTCACAACAGCCGCGGTCGTTAGCGAGTTAGGAAGCTGGGCGGCATCTAAACGTTCGCACACAGGCAGCAGGGCCACGAGTCTCAGCTCGAGCAGCGATGTTTCTCCAGGGCAGGCGGCTTCTCTGCGAGGTGTTTCCTTGGCCGACACTCTTGGCTGGGCTCCCTGGCCAGGGGGTCGCAGCGCTGCCCAGCCTGGGACACCTCGGCAGTGACGTGGTCACAAGCTTTTTGCAGCTTTTGGTGAGTTTGACCGAGCGAAGTTTACCAACACCTGCTGAAAACGGAAGGAATTCCTCCGCTCGCCTCGCCTGGGGTAGGGAACACCAAGGGAAGACCAAACCGATGTGATGAGACGGGAGGAAACCAAAGGGGAGGAAACCACTGGCAACGACCGATCCGGTGCATCAACTCGAAACTACTCCTCCTTCCCATTTGGATCTGGTTATACTGGAGAGGGAGGTTGGGAAGGCAGCTGGGGGAGCGGTGGATGCTCTGCGGGTACCGAGGCGACACAAAGAACTCTCCCCCAGTGCTAATACCCGTCAGGACAAGTCAGCAGCTGATTGTTCACCTTTCATTCAAGAATTCCCTGAAAATTTCATGATGCCTGGGCAAAGGGAGGCACCACTGGCTCCAACTACTCAATTTCCGAAGAGCAGCCGAGCTGCCAACTCTTGAAGTGAAGCAGATCCCCCCCACCCCGCCCCCAAAACAGACTGGGAGATCACAATGGGTAGAAAACAGAAGGGTTTCAGTTTGCCCAGCACCAAGGGATTTTATCAAGCAACTTTTTTTTTTTTTTCCATTTGTTCTGAGCTCTTAACAGCCCAGCCTTGTCCCCATCACCGCAGAGGAACCATCCTCGTGCCATAGCATGGGGCACACTGCTAAAGTGCTTTCCCCGCTGCCATCAGCTTAGTCCTTGCTACCAAGGGACGCCAGGCACCGGGGCAGGGGGAAAGGGGAGCACAGCGGCTGCCCAGGACACTGGTTTCTAGCATCACCTGAAAGGTAAGGCCAGACCTGCCCAGTCCAAGTCCCACAAGGGACTTTTAATCCATCCAGGAAAATGCAGGATAACTCACGTGAATTAAACCAGGCACTCCAGGCACGCGCTGTGTATGCAGCCATTTGAAACAAGAAGCGGGAAGGGGGAAAGGACATCTAGAGAGATTGTAATTCCTGCTTTTTCACTGGGGGCAGAAGCAAAGAGGGAAGGAGAGGCCAAATCTTCCGCCAGGGGATGTGGTGGTAGGAAGACTGGCTCTTTACAAGCAGCACAGCACATGGGGCACTCCAAAAATCCAGGGTTTAGTGTACCCCTTGGACCTCACTCACCTAAGGAGAAGAATTCACATTAAAATCATTCCTAAAACGCACAGCTTTGTGCCCTGAATTAACACAGGCTAAAATTTAGAGTAATCTCAGTAAGTAGCTCCTGACAAACACCTCTCCCCATCAGCTGTCACCAGAGCACCCCAGAGAAGTTAGCACAGAGAGAGAAATTCTTCATGATAAGCACATGGCCCTGTTGGAGGTTGTTTCAGCACAGAGGACACGGGGTTCGCGGAAGACAACCGGCCTTACGAAGCGTTGCGGGTCCAAGAGGAGAGCTGGTTTGGAAACCAAAGGAATTCAGCTGGGATGGGACAGATGGGACATGTGTCCTGGGAGGCTGGGCACAGACAGCGCCTTCCCTCGGCAGCCCACACGGCCGTCAGCTGGTAACAGACAAACAAGGACCACAGCAAAGCCGCGGGGCTGGCTACACCACCCAGCTGCATCCATGGGATTCAACCTCAGCTTCCCCAAGAGCCTCCCCAAAAAAACCAAGCTCCCAGAAAGCGCCCAGCTAGCGACCCACGAGCCCCGGCCACGTGGCGTGCCTCCAGGCAAGAGGGCAGATCTAAGAGTTAGTTAAAAGTCACTTAAAACAAACTCAAATAATTCATTAGAGACCACACTGCCTGCCAGTAAGGGTTGGTTTGGGGCTACATTTGCAAGGCTCATCCCTGATGGAGATGGGAATTGCCCAGGCTCCTCCCAGGACCCCTGCAGGCATCTTGCCTGCCGGCACGCTGCGGGCTGGATGCCAAAAACACAGCGCACTCCCCGCCTCTGCAGGGAAAACCCTGGGTCACAACAACCCAGCGCTGGCTGTGCCGTTCTCAGCAGCACAGTCACCGAAGCGTGCTGAATTTTCTGTAAGCCAGCCAGCAATGTTTACATGTCAGTGAAGACACCCAATTCCACCACAGCAGCGTAAAGACGTTCAGCAAGTAAAAGGAGAATGGAGAAGTTTAAAAATACAAGCCTCCTTCAGAGCCCGAGAAGCAACAGCGCACGTTCGCACACGCCCGTGGGATTTCTAGCATGGTCAGCAGAGCGTAGCGCCCCTTCAGCTGCACTTCGCCTCTCAGGCAGAAGGAACGCAGTGCCTGAAGAGCTTCACTGTACTAAAATTCACAGTGATCGCTTTTTACACTGGTTATTTCCCCTGCCACAGCTTTCATAGTCACAGCCTCGGCCACAAATTTGCACTTTCACCTGTCTAAACGGATTTTTCCTTTTGCCGCTCCAAAATTCACTATGACCGAGAGCCCAGTATTAGAAAGTTGGGGCCAGGAAGAAAACAAATTAAGTTTCTCACTTAAAAAAAATTCACATTAAAATAGTTTCAGGTTCACCGCAAACAAAGCAGCAAGAGATCAAACATTAAGTGAGTTCCGAAGACATCACAATGCCATGCAGTACTGTTTCTACCCCAGGACAGCCTGTATCGTATCTTAGTTACACCCTGCTGCTACAATTCACCACTGGGAAAAAGTTTGCGGGCCTCCTCCTCTGGAAGCCCTTTTCCTACCCTCCAGAGAAATAAAGTTTCACTTGGCACTTAATGTTACCAAAAAGTAACAAAATTCACAATTTTTAGCTTCACGGAGGCAGGAGCAGGCCTTCACGAATCCTTTAACCAGCGTCACAAGCTGCGCTCCCTTGTGGTTTGCTTCAGAGGTGGCGCAGGCAGCAGATCCTTTGCTCTTCCTTCAATTTGCGATCTCCAGTGCCTGAAGAAGGGCTAGAGAGTGGCTAAAATGCGCAGAAATGAAACCACCACCACGCAGAATGTCTGACCCACTCCTAAAATGAGGGCTTCAAAGGGAATCATTTTTTTCCCTGCAGCTCTATAAACTCCAGCAATGGCAGCACCTGTGGAGAGGAGAAAAAGCCAAAATGTGAGAGCGTGACCCTGTTGTACCACAGGGACAAAGGGGGAAGTCTCAGAGCATCTGAGTCTGGGGCAGAGAACAGGGGGCTCTGTGGGAGAGGGCCCTTGCACTGGCTGGAAGGGACACCATACAGGATTTACCAGGACAAACCTCAGCCAGTAACCAATGCATGCTGGTGGCAATGGGTAAACTGGTGGGGAAACTCCGCTTGAAGGTGTGGAGGTTGGGGCGGTTTTGGACATACTCTCGTCACAAGATTCTCTATGCCACAGCCCACAAGCTGCAAATATTGCCCAGTTTGGGGCACAGACACCAAATCTGTAAGTGGTTTTTCTCCAAGTGCTTGGAAAGCTGAAGCCCCCCCTGGCTCTGCACCTGACAGGCATGGTTGGTACCCAACAAAGGGCTCAATAGAGGGGACGGTCCAACACTTTCAAACATGGGGCAGGGGGGAATATAGCCAAAACATCCATCTCCTCTCTACCCCAGGGAACGCTGCGGTTTGGTGTGCTCCTGAAGGCAATCTGAGGTCGCTACAGAGCCACCCGGTCGGTATTTTAGAGCATCTACCATACTTGTTAGGATGCCGGCAGTAATGGGTCCCACGATGCCCATCAGCAGGAGGCTCACGGACATGAACCGGCCGTACTTGTGATGCCTGAGTGTGAAGAGCGCTAGCAGAGCGGCCGGGACGTGGAAGGAGAGGGAGGAGACGAGGGCCCACAGGAAGACGCCATACCACATCTCTGCGGAGAGAGGAGGGCAGGGAGGCAGGCTCGGGGCCCGCAGG